TCTAATTTCTCTTATTTTTCTTTTTATTGCTAGATAAAATTTATAAAATGGATTCTGCGTGCGTTTTACGATATGTGTTATACGTTCGTTATTATTTGTTTAAAAATATCAGAGGCAACCCTGGTCGACCTCTCGATGAAAAATCAAACGATAGCTACAGCAAACAACAATCAACACAATTACTCTTCCATATGAGAAAAATCCAAAATGTTGATGTTCGATAACAGGTTTAGTTGACGTATACGTTATTTACAATCCTATTATAAGCATCTAATTGACCGTAATTGTTAAAAAAAAAAAAAATAATTCAACAAATTCAATAACTTTTTTACTTAATAAAATTTAATTCAACAATTTATTCGTGATAAAAATTATCTTTCAAATTTTATCATTAAGTTGCAAAAAGGTCTGAAAAAGATAAAGATTTATTTTGTAAATAATATCTTAAATGTTTAATAAATAAAATTTTTATTTTTTTCAAATAAAATTAAATGATAATTTAACAATTCGTTTTTAAATATTGAGAATGATGGAAAGATTTTAATTTCACGAGCAAACTATGCTGAAAAATAATCAATTCGGTATAATGAGAAGCTACATGTTATGCTAACAGAAATTAAGGATTGCAAGATTTGTTCTGAACGAATAAAGCATCAAGTGCAAAGGGTTAATAATATATCAACACATATTAACCCTTGTTAAAGGGATATTACCTACATAAGTTTATATATCGATACAGCAGACTCATGGTTCCGCAGCACATTGTAGTTCATATTTTCTTCACATCTGTCGCTGAAATCATCCAGTTTGAAGGTACATCTACATTTGCAGTATACTACTCTACCAGCATATATGCGATGCACGTAATAAAACTTTTGAAGTTTCCTATCAGGTAGCGTTTCAATCAACACAGAATTTTGTTTTTTTAATAAACATGATCCTGTCCATGCCATTGGTCGAATAACTAACCAATCACGAACTCATACACGACATTGCAAAATAATTTGTTTCTTCTACTTTTCATCGAATTTGTAAGAACTTTTAAACTTTTAACAAAAAAAAAAAAACATTTGATGGGAATATTTTAAAAATAAAATTTGCAATTTTTAAATTGTGCTTTATAAACAATTAAAAATTTATACACACACATATTAATATATGAATATATATGTAAGTATGTCAGGTGTATATAAAGATCACATAATCATTAAATAATATGTGTACTTACAATAAGAGTGTGTTAGTATACGTACGACGTATTTAATTTGTATTTTTATTTAACCGCAATTACATGCATTGTTATTGCTAATGACGAAGTATCTATATTGTTACAAGAATTACATATATACTTAGTATATTTCTATACACATATGAATGTATTGTATATCACGTATACAATGCAGCAGACTCTCTTACAATTAGAATAATAACGTTTCTTATATCGTGCATGAATGCGATTAGATAATATATATGATTAGAGAGAAAGGAGATGAGTAATAAAAAAATGAAAGAAATTTAAAAGTATACGGGCATGAGTTGAAAGACGAAAGTGGTGAATGTGCGTTTATGTATACGTATGAGGAAAGAGAAAGAGAGTGAGGGAGAGGGGAGTGTATAGTTTATATGTATAGTTTGTGGTTGATATGAGGAGAAAGAGAAAGAGAGAGAGAGAGGGAGAAAGGAGATAAAGACAAGTATTAAACTGTTACCGATCGATTTTCCAATATAATTTCCAACCCTGTCTCTTTCAAAGTTTCAACAAGATTTCTAATTTGTTGTCATAGTTATTCATTTCGTCAACATAGTAGTTTAAATAGAACAAAATTTAATTATGAATTTTTATTATCGAATTTCTTGTATAATATATATTGTACGATATGAGAAAAATTGTATTATATTTAAATTTGTGCAAGAATTAAATAAAAGATTCTTTTTTATTATCATGTAATAGAAAGTTAAAAATGAAGTATAATAGAAAATGTTTAGGTATTAAATAATTGTAAAAAATTCTGATAAGATGTTAAAGTAATTCAAAAAGTAAAAAAAAGACAATATATTGACAAATATAAGACAATAACTTTTACTTTTGTATTATGGAAAAACGCGTTAAGTTTTTCTTCTTGTTAACTTTTTATTTTATTTATATTATTTTTAAATTTTTATAATTTTTATTTATTTTCGTAAATTATTATAGATACATGCGCATAATATTTATCTTTATGTTTTACGTATGTATTACACTTAACATATTTATGTTTTCCTATAATGTTATATCTCATTTGTGTAATTTGAATTGTAAGTATTGTACATTTTTAATTAATTGAATGTATTAAGGGGTTATATACAGTTAGAATTTTCAAAAAATCGATTTTTT